GGGCGCTTGAGAGGCGAGGGCCCCAGAATTGAGAGCCATGTTTTGGACAAAGGCCACAAAGGCAGCCTGAAGATCGATGGCCGGGGCCGGAGGGGGAACTTGGTTCTCACTCCGATCCCTCCTTCGATTATCAAGGCCAATGCGGGCATCAGGGGCATTCTTCTGTAGCTGCTGACGTAGGTCAGCAGTAGCTTGTTCCAATTCGAGGATGATACCACCCTCGGGTACTAAGAGCCTGTTGGAGGCCTCAGCCCCGTTGGTTTCGCCGGGGGCTACGTGGTTCTCCTCAAGGGTTTTGGATTGGGCGCGGGTTGTTCTTCCCATTTTTGGTAGGTGTTTTGAGTTTGGTAGAGGGGGAGGGTTCCTTACTTGATTGTTCTGACCTCTCAATGAGAGCACCAAATGATGGAAAGTCTACCCGGGGGGTTTCTTATCCGGGGGGTTCTTGCGGGAATAACTAGAGAGAAGTCAGAGTAAATAGGAGGAGAGAGAGTCGATTTTATTAAATGAACTCAGCGTGGTTTACAAGGAGAACAAGGGCTGCTATTTATAGCAGCAATAAATGCGATGAGTGTACACGTGTCAGTAATCCGACGGCCGAGGGGTCACATCAGCCGGGGTGGCACCGGCAGTGGTACGTCCACCGCATTGAATGCGGTTGGCGGATGTGACGTGGCATTAAATGCGGTGGTTGGCTGTCTCCAAAAGGAATCTTCGATGATCAAGCACGTTTGGCCGAAGGCTCCTTGTGTAGCCGAGGGCTCCATGTGACCTTGGACCCCTGTGTAGCCGAAGGCCCTATGTGACCGAGGGCTCGGTAATGCCGAAGGCTCATGTTTTCCGCCGTTTTCTCCCAGTAGCTTCTTCTTTCAGAGAAGGCTATCCCGTGAGTTTTTGAGCCTTCGGCCAAGGAGGCCGAAGGCACCCCAGTGTGTAACCTGAGCTACTTTGAGGCTTGGGCCGCCGCATTCGGGCCTGAGTTGTTCTCTGGGCCCAATGGACTTGTGTAGGAGAAGTAGGAGTCTATGGGCCGGGGGTTCCTGGACCATATACTCCATCAAATATCCTTAGGGGCATTTCTGGCAGGAATCAATTATTTAGTTCTATATGGTATGGTTAAAAAAGTAGTGATCATATTTGTGCATTTTAGGTTATTTTTAATTTTATATAGACCATATTAAATCAATAATACTCATAAACCATGCGATAAGTTTTGATTTTTCCAATACAAAATTCGTATATGATTAGCGTCTAGGCGTCTAGCTAGTATTAGCGTTGCAAAAAGATTGACTAATTTGACTTTTCTTGGTCAATGGTGTTAAAATTTAGACAATGATTTTAGGTATTATATTTATGTGTAATTTACGGAGTATAAATTTTATACTTTTATGAAAGATCTTTTTATAAAGAATAAGCTCATATAATTTTCATATTTCAAATAATTTTGTATTAAAAGATATCATTGGTCAAAGTTGATAACCGTTAACCAAGAAAAGTCAAATTGGCCAACCTTTTTGAGACAGAGGGAGTATAAGGTCTGATTTGATATAAATTTGAGGATCCCAAAATAAATAAACGTATCATTTGGGGATATGGTGTACTAGATATACATCAGATGTACTAGGCTGGAAATTTAAACCATTGAAGAGCTAGGCCCTATACAATAATAATAAATATACAAAAGCAATTATACATATAATTATATTATATTGCTAGCATTAATGGCTAACGCGGAGGTTCTGATCGTATATATGTGGAGCACAGTTGATGTCTGACGATGACCGATGAAGAAAATGCATGGGATATAATTAAGATGGATTTTATTTACAATGATAATTGTCCTGATTATTAAGGAAATTTTGTACAATTAATTATTTTACTCTAAGTACACCAAATTAATTAAATCTAAAACCTATTTGTCAAACCAGCCAACGCAGACATAGATAAGATCAGATCTGGAGGTCAATACGTACATGCAACAGAGATATACTCAAAAGAAAAACACTTGGAATAATTAATGGAACAACCATGAAGATTGAAAAGTCAAATGACATACTCGAAAGTCGAAACTGATGGGAGTATTGATCTATATATCATTCAACAAATATTATGATTGTAAGAGTATTCAACCATGAAGATTGAAATATTGAATAATTATGTGATAGGATGGAGGGAATGTTATTAGATATGAATATGGTTGCATCATTTCGATCTTTTTATTACAATAAATAAATATATATACTATCATTGGTATCACATTAGTAGCAACATTGCAAATTACACACTATTCATATACTCTGCTTTGACTATATTTTATTTATTAATGTATGTGAATTATTTTTTTTATGAAAAATATTGTTGAATTCATCTCATTAAAAAGTTTCATAATCTGATTTTTAATTATTTTTTACTAATATACAATTGAATATAATGATGGTCAAATTTGTGCGTGGGCAAACGTGAAAAAGTGAATGTTGCAACTAAAAAAGAACGGAATACAAATGTTGAAAAATTTGAAGAAGAAAAGGATCGGAATACAAACAAACATCCTTAGTTCATGAAATCATTATTTATATATATATACACACACACATGTATATATGTGGTCTAACTTGTGGTGAGAATAATTTTTTTTCGTGAGAAATGGGAATGGTCCAAAACGATGCGCATTATGATTTACGGAGATACACATTTATGGCTACATATTAATAATTAAAAAAAAAATATTTACAAAAATATGATAAGTGACTATATATAGTAGTAACTTAATCATAGCAACTCATGTCCATTTTTTTAATTTATATGACTATGACACTATATTGTACTACGTAGTAGTTATTACTCATATTTGTATAAATAAATATAATATTTTTTAACACAACCCAGCTAATTAAAAGTGCCAACGATGCATCAAATTATGTTAAAAACGAGTGGTAATATGTATCCTAATTAAATGAAATTTTGCCACCGTACTTACAAATTAGAAATGCAACATACTTGGATAAAAGTACAACATATATAGAGCATTAAAATTAAAGAGATTAGAGATATTAATATACTCCGTAAGTAATATAAGTTCTATTAGTATAGTTTTAAAATAGATGAGTGTTATGGTACCCATTTAAAAAAGAAGGTACTCATCTCCAAAGATAGGACTTCAACTTAGACTCCAGTCCATGTCAAATCCAAAAAATGTCTCAATTGTTATAGTAAAAAAATTCATGTCTAAAATATTCCTTATATCCACTTTGTCTGGCTCAGTGCTTTGGTCCTCCCCTAAGGCCTAAGGGTACTATGCATTTGATAGTCAAAATCATTATTTGTTTATTTGTTTATATGTTCTAATTATTCAATTACTAGTATAATATTCTAATCGATATAAATTAATATAATAAAGTATATATGTGACTTTAAGGTACCATTTTATCTTTAAGATATTATTATTACTACGGTATTTCATAATGAACCCCTCCTAGTAAATAAATTCATATATCTTTGGAAACTTCACTAGAAAATAAAAAATAATTCTCCACTAATATGGTACTCCGTATAATAATATTTTACAATAAAAGTAGATACACTCATACACTGTATATTAAAATTTATTCGAATGCTCGAAGTAGCAATGAAACTACCTGGCACGCTTTCCATGGCCCAATTCATGTAATCTGTAATCTGCATATAAAATTCACTCAAGTGGTCAACGTAGAAATGAAACTATCTGTCACTCATTAATTAAATGGTAGAGACACTTGTATGGTTTCAAAAAATCACGATGGAAATTAATTAATTACTAAAGTGGACTTACAGTAATACATAAAAACAGATGGCGCATCCTTTGTTGCCAATGAAATTGTTACTCTGACATATACTGTTTATACTGGTCTATCATCAATGTCTCTTTAATTGCTACTATTATATACGATCACATATTAAAAAAAACGTGATTACATTATCTTAAAATAAATAGTTCAATGTTAAGATTGTATATGAAAAAGAAAAAATGACTTGTACTACATATAATACTAACGGAGTTTCCTGGAAAAATTTAACTATATATATATTGACATTCTTAGTGTGACACTGTCACTAATGATATTTTTTCAATGAATGCTATGATGTTCATAAAAATTTGATGGTACCTACATCTCAGTATTAGATCGGTCCAAGTTATTATTTTCACTTATTTATATTTAAGTTATTGAATTGCAATACTTATATCGGTCAATGTGGATAAAGTATGATTACCTGATGGTATTTATATACCATAAAATTTGCCGGCCTATTTTTAATACAAATTAAATTATATCGAAATACTACTCCCTATATATTTTAAAAGTACCTTCATAAGATTAAATAAGGTACTACATCCGTCCCAAATTGATTAACAAAGTCAACTTTTGTTTAATTTGTCAACCAATGTTAAAGTTAAATCTTTCTATTGATAATTAATTAATTAAATTTCTATAACTAAATTTATATATTCAAAAACTACATTAATATTTCTCTAAAGCTTCAAATTTCAAATTAGAATATACTTCGTACTACGTAATTAAAATTGATATCCTAATTAAGTGAATAAAATGAAATAATTTGACCTGCAACAATGACTTTGCAAAGTGATTTGGGACGGAAGAGTGCTTTCATAATATTTTAAATTTTACCAATCCCACACAATCATACAAATTAAAATCTGCATCCAAATTTTCTCATCATTCCCTAAAAAAAGTCAACACGGTCAAATGGTCATTTTTTGTAAGAAGTAAGAGTATAGTGATGAAGATGGAGGATAATATAGTAGGGTGGGTGGGTACTATAGATGGATCGATGCTGAGTGTGAACGGGAGACCGGCAGATGCATGAAATAACTCCTTCAGCCAACGATACAACTACAAGCATTTACTTCTGATTGGAAGACAGTTGAGCTGACCGGGCCCCACACTGCCATGTGCTGCCATTTTCACTATATATTACACTCACGTACACTTCCGTTTTTGCATGTCCGATCCATCGATCAATCTGCTAATATAATTAACCGCGCTAGCTTTTCATCAATTCCATCCATTACATATTCACCCATCATAATTTCCTTCTTTGTTTAGTATATTAACCAGTCTATATAATCATCACATCAATTCTGAGCTTTCTCGATCGTCTACTACTGTTTCATAACCGATTGATCACTTGAGATCGAACGTACTGTTCGATCAAAATGAGGTTGATGTCCGATCGTTCTTTTGGGTTTTCTCTTTTGGTTCTTTTGTTTGTGAATGCTGTTTCCGCGGCCACATTGGTTGATGACCTAAAGTTTCTTCCTCACCCGCACCCGCACTTAGGTTTACCCTTCGGCCGGAAAGGGCTGGGTCATGGGTTTGGTCCTGGTGGCGGTTTAGGAGGTGGTGCCGGTGGAGGTTTTGGAGGGGGTGGTGGTGCCGGTGGAGGCCTTGGTGGTGGCGCTGGTGGAGGTTTGGGAGGGGGCGGTGGTTTGGGAGGTGGCGCTGGTGGAGGGCTTGGAGGTGGTGCTGGCGGAGGGTTAGGAGGTGGTGGGGGACTTGGAGGAGGTGGAGGACTTGGAGGTGGAGCTGGTGGGGGTGCTGGTGCAGGTGGAGGATTTGGTAAAGGAGGTGGCATTGGGGGTGGACTTGGTGGTGGTGGTGGAGCTGGGGGTGGTGGGGGACTTGGAGGCGGTGGTGGACTTGGTGGTGGAGCAGGTGGGGGTGCTGGTGCCGGTGGTGGGTTTGGTAAAGGAGGTGGCATTGGGGGTGGTCTTGGAGGAGGTGGCGGAGCTGGGGGTGGTGGCGGTCTTGGAGGAGGTGCCGGGGGCGGTCTTGGAGGTGGTGCCGGAGCCGGTGGAGGATTTGGCAAAGGAGGTGGCATTGGGGGTGGAGCTGGTGGTGGTGGTGGACTCGGTGGTGGTGGTGGGGGTGGCTTGGGAGGAGGAGGTGGACTAGGAGGAGGGGCTGGTGGTGGTGCCGGTGGGGGCTTTGGAGGAGGTGCTGGTGGAGGTGCCGGAGGTGGGCTTGGTGGTGGAGCAGGTGGTGGCGGTGGAGCGGGAGGTGGTGGTGGACTAGGAGGTGGGGCAGGTGGTGGTGCCGGTGGAGGCTTTGGAGGAGGCGCCGGTGGTGGTGCCGGAGGTGGGCTTGGTGGCGGAGCAGGTGGTGGTGGTGGAGCGGGAGGTGGTGGTGGACTAGGAGGAGGAGCTGGTGGAGGTGTCGGAGGTGGATTTGGAAAAGGTGGAGGTGTTGGCGGTGGACTTGGCGGTGGAGCCGGCGGCGGTGGTGGAGCAGGAGGTGGGGGTGGACTAGGAGGAGGAGCTGGTGCCGGAGGTGGATTTGGAAAAGGTGGGGGTATTGGTGGTGGATTTGGGGGTGGAGCAGGGGGTGGAGCAGGCGGTGGTGGAGGTTTGGGAGGCGGAGGTGGATTAGGGGGAGGAGCCGGAGCTGGGGCTGGTGGAGGCTTTGGTAAAGGAGGCGGCATTGGAGGTGGACTTGGTGGTGGGGCAGGAGGGGGTGGTGGAGCAGGAGGAGGACTAGGGGGAGGTGCTGGAGCTGGTGCCGGTGGAGGCTTTGGAGGAGGTGCAGGCGGTGGCGCCGGAGGTGGTCTTGGTGGCGGAGCTGGCGGAGGAGTTGGTGGTGGCTTAGGAGGTGGAGGTGGAGTTGGAGGAGGTGCAGGTGGAGGTTTCGGCAAAGGAGGAGCGGTAGGGGATGAACTGTCTGGTGGTGCAGGATTAGGCGGAGGAGCCGGAGCAGGAGGTGGCCTTGGAGGAGGCCTAGGCGGGGGAGCAGGTGCCGGTGGAGGACTAGGAGGCGGCGCAGGACTTGGAGGAGGTGCAGGTGCAGGTGCGGGTGCCGGTGGAGGATTAGGAGGAGGAGCTGGTGGAGGTCTTGGTGGAGGTGCAGGTGGTGGTGGAGGACTTGGAGGCGGTGCAGGTGGTGGATTAGGGGGAGGAGCTGGTGGTGGTGGTGGACTTGGAGGTGGTACAGGTGCGGGTGGAGGAGCTGGTGGAGGTCTCGGCGGAGGAGCTGGTGGAGGTCTCGGCGGAGGAGCAGGTGGTGGAGGAGGACTAGGAGGTGGTGCGGGTGCCGGTGGAGGATTAGGAGGAGGAGCTGGTGGAGGCTTGGGCGGAGGAGCAGGCGGTGGTGGTGGACTTGGAGGAGGGGCTGGTGGAGGTGCCGGTGGTGGTGGAGGATTAGGAGGTGGGGCTGGAGGTGGAGCTGGGGGAGGGTTCGGAGGCGGTGCAGGTGGAGGCGCAGGTGGAGGCGCAGGTGGAGGCGCAGGTGGTGGTGCAGGAGGCGGGTTCGGTGGAGGCGCAGGTGGTGGTGCAGGAGGCGGGTTCGGTGGAGGCGCAGGTGGTGGTGCAGGAGGCGGGTTAGGTGGTGGTGCAGGAGGCGGTGGCGGCTTTGGCGGAGGTGGTGGCTTTGGGGGTGGACATTGATCAATACAATCCAGGCTGCATGGCTAAGGAAAAGAATTCATACACCCCATCGTTATATATTCGATATGGTGTATGCGTTAAAAATTATAAAGTTGTGCAATTATATTCTTTGGGCTAAGCCAAGCCTAAATTATTGCATTATGTATGATCGATCTATATGTATCATTTTGATTACTATTATATAAGAAATGAATGAACAATTACATATCGGATTGCCATGATTTCATGCACGTACGTACTCCATGCATTACTTTGCATATATATATAGTGATTAGTGTGTAAATTAAAATGATCGAATGATATTGCACCAAAGAAATGCGCACAAACTAGATGTGTAGATCTCTATAACTTGTTTTTTGTAAAAGATCTTCATCTCTATAACTTGTTTTTGTAAGAGATCTTCTCTATAACTTAATAATCGAAATTAAATACGTAAAATCTGTTTTTTTTGTTAAATCCACCCTATTAATTAATCCTAAAACTGATTGAGAAGAAGATGCACAGATATTTGAGTATTTCTACTCTAGCTCTCTGTCAACTAATTATTTGATTTTTGAAAGAAATTAAATCCGGAATTGAAGACAATTAAGGAGCCTAGCTAGGCATAGGTAGGTAGTCAATTAAGGACCCGTTGAGGAGCAAATTATCGTAGAATTGAAGACATCTCATTTCTAGCTTTACATCAATTTTCAACGTACGGCTTGACTGTTGAGAAAATATAGTTTATATCTATATGATAAAATGTTATAGCATCTTTAATTTCATCTTTGATAAAATGTAATACGATACGTTAAAATGTTGTCCATAGTCTTGAGTTAATTCTTATATAAGGTAAGTAGTGACATCACCCGACATTATAACCGAATTAGAAGATATACTTGTTTCATTCAGGGTATTTCAATCAAGTGTTTATTCAATTCTGCACCATATTACTAAAACTAATTCATAGATATATTTGCTTATGATTATATGAAGGCTTTGACTTACTTAAATTACCACAATAAGTTGTCCAAGTGTGGACACTAGTGTACATAAACTAAGGATATTGATCAATTTAATATTGATCAATTAAGAATTGCTTGGGTTGCAATTGATGTAAGGACCTACTTGTTTTGATATTGCTATAGCAATAATGCTATACGTACATACTAACTTCCCGAAATACTTACAAAAGAAACCTTGTGGTGATGTGGCTATATTTTAATATACTTTTAAACAAAATATTTAATAAACTTTTAAAGTAAAGAAGGGAAGAAAAATAAGACAGCCTAGGGTTCGTCAATTGAATAGAAAAAGTCAACACTGCGACCCATTTCATTGAGAAGCAGTTTCGCTCATCTGGAAGCTCTGGACGGAACGTTTCCCGCCGGAAATATGTCTAACGGTAATATTGAATTCATCATTTTCCTTCTAGAAATCTTTTTATATTTCAAAATATAGAAAGAGTAAAGAACTTTATTAATTGATAATGAGGAAGGCAATGAATAAGAATCTGGACGGGTAGTTCAATTTAATAAGAGGAGGACTATGAGCATGAATAATTGAAATATGCATAGAGACACTGGAGCAGCAGCCTGAAAGCTACTTGCTGTGCAATATTTCAAATATATGTTTATTTCAATAATCTGCAATTCTAGATATGAATGATCATATATTTGATTCAGGTGAACTTGTGGCCACAGTTACGCTAAGTGAAGAAGAATGTGAAGATACCACGATTGAGATGGGTAGTGTACCAAAAGTAGGAATGGATTTTAAGAGTGCTAAGGAAGTGTGGAAATTTTATAGGAGTTATGCTGCTGCAGTGGGGTTCCCTATTAGGAAAAGAACTTCAAGGAAAGGTGATAGTGGAACAGTGAAATATGTGACCTATGCATGTAGTCGTGAAGGTGGTCGATGTTATGCCACAACGTGTTCATTAAATCCACAACCTACAATTCAAACAGATTGTAAGGCAAGGTTAAGCGCATGGATTCTAAAGCTCCCATGGGTATCATAACTGATCAGGATCGTGCTATGAAAAATGCTATTCAACTCATTTTCCCGCATACAAGGCATAGGTGGTGTTTGTGGCACATAATGAAGAAATTACCTGAAAAGTTTGGAGGTTTTGAAGAAAAGGCTGAAATATGTGCATCTTTGCATAATGCAGTGTATGACTCATATAGCGAAGAAGAATTTGATACTACCTGGAGTGCAATGATTGAAACATATAACTTAAGTGATAATGACTGGTTATGTGGATTGTATGATGAGAGACGTCGTTGGGTACCTTGTTACTTGAAAACAAGTTTTTGGGCAGGAATGTCCACGACACAAAGGAGTGAGAGCATTAACGCGTTTTTTGATGGATATGTGCATTCAAAGACATCTCTAAAGCAATTTGTTGAACAATATGAACGGGCACTGAGAGATAAAGCAGAGAAAGAATTTACGGCAGATTTCAAATCTTTTTCAAAGATAGTTCCATGTGCGACAGTGTTTGAAATGGAAAAGCAGTTCCAGAATGTGTATACCATAAAGAAGTTCAAAGAGTTCCAAACAGAATTGACAGGTAAGCTTTACTGTGAAGTTGATTTCATTGAGATGGTAATTACGAAAATGTTCTATGAGGTGCGTGAGTACCTTATGTTAGGGGATACAATGCACATGAAAGTGTTTAAGGTAGCTCTTGAAAAAGAAAACAGTGATATTGTTTGCAATTGCCACTTATTTGAGTTTAGAGGGATATTGTGTAGACATGTCATTACTGTTTTAATCCGGGAGGGTACAACATCAATCCCAGATAAGTATATCTTGAAGAGGTGGAGAAAAGATGTCTTCAGACCCCATACACGGTTGAAGATTAACTATAATGGATGGCTATCTATTCCAGGTCAATTACAATACGAAAAGTTGTGTCATAAGTTTTCAGAAATAGCCCATATGGTGGCTGGTGATGAATCACTAGAAAGGAACACATTTGAGTGGCTTGATTCTTATCATAAAAGTTTGATACTGCACTCAAAAAGGGATAGTAACAAAACATATTCAAGGTGTCAAAACGTGAACACTGTGCTTGGTGCCCTCATCAAGGATCCAAAATGCACAAGACGTAAGGGTGCCCCAAAGAAGCTGCGAAAAAAGAGTTCCTTAGAATCTAGTTCAAAAAAAAAAGGTAACATGGTAAAAGATGAGTTAATGTTACATTTATGAAATTATCCAAAATAATGCTTATTTTTATTAATTTGATAGGAGGCGAAAGTGAAGAAAGGGAAGAATCATCTAGCTGAAGGTCAAGGTTCTGATCCAAATGGAGTGTTGTTGTCCAGTTTGTTGGTGTAGTTTGCTGACATAATGATGTCCTTTTTGTTGTAGTATGTTGGCAAAATGATGCCTTTTTTTGTTGTTGTTGTACAATGTTGGCAGAATGTTGCCTTTTTGTGATGTTCAGTTATTTAATGTAGTGCCAGAATGTTTTTTTCATCCACCTGCGAGAATAGTTTTTATAATGAATTGTTTAAACTTTTCATTCTATTTTGCTTTTTTAGATATGCATTCATCCAACCATCAAGGCATTTAAGATGAGAAAAGGCAAAATAGGTGAAACTTTATTCACATATTATGTGTTGAAATTGTGTGTGTATAAAATAGAATTCATTGAAAATGATGCTTCATCAAGTACAACTTGAGTCAGCCTTTATCCCTTTCATACACGAGCTCCATTTTCTTCTTTATATTGCTGATATATTGAGTGAAACATTGTTGAGAAGTTCATAGGCCCTAGGCGCTGGAATGACTCCCATTCAGCTTTAGCAGTTCATAGTGGTAACTGGCAAGTGCAGCACACAAACAACCATTCTATTAATATTTTTAGAGGGAGCTCAGATTATTTGGCTATTTGGAGTGTTTGGTTGCTAAAAGCCAGTGAGCAAGAGATTAATATGTATAAAGCTAGGCAGTGCAACCAAGTTAATATTTTAATTTAATGGGTTAATTGTGAACTTCAGTTCTGGCTTCCTCCGTTTCACAATCACATTCCCTCATGAGAAGCTCTTTAGCAAAAGGACACCAGTAGCTTCCCCCGCCCAGATGTGCCTTTTCACAGAATTGAAACATTAAGCACAACCTCACTAAGGGTTGGTTTGCAACCACTTTAAAAAAAGCACTTCTCAGCTTTTGGCTTTAAAAAAGCACTTATTTTTCCAAACACTACAACTTTTATTTTTCTCGGCTTCCGCGCCAAAAGTGCTTTTACTTTTTCTATTACACAAAAAAGCACATACTTTACCAAACACTACCCACTTTTACTTTTCAAAATCACTTTTTTCTCAAACACTATCAACTTTTATTTAATCACTTCTCCCCATTTCATTAAAAAAAGCACTTTTTTAAAAGCAAAAGCTGTTGCAAACAGACCCTAAGCATGTGCCGTTTAACAAATTCGAACACAAACCTGCTAAAAAGAGAAACAAATCATTTACATCTTAGAGTTGAAGAAGGAGATGATAAATACTCATAACAAGCGAAAATTTTAATTTAATTCCAAAGAATTACACAATTACTCAAATCGGGTGCTAAAATTGAGATGAAAACTAGAATTTTCGAACTAACCTAACCTTGATGTTTCTCTACGGGCATCTCTTGTATGCAAAATAGAGTTGTTGAGTTGGTGTCGGCTGCCGGCATAGCTACAAAAGAGGTAAGTTTTGGCTGATTTTAGTCACCAGCCTTCCAGGTTTTAAAAATAAGGGGTAAAGTCGTAATTGCATATTAGCTTAAAATGGGTCGTTTGTAAGTACTTCGGGAAGACCCGTTGTACGTGTAGCAGATCTCTTGCTATAGTCAGTCACTCAGTCCAAACAAGGACTGTGTAACAATGCACATGTGGATATTGGCCACTAAGCTACGATTGTAGAATCGGTCCAACTCTTTTTGTTGGGGTCAAAGGGCATAAATATAGTGGGAGCTGCGCTAAATAATGAATATTCTGTTTTTATCAGTTACTAACGTGATTATAGGAATAAATGTATGAATTGTAGTTCTCATTCTATTCATTTTCTCTAGAGTTTTAGGAATGTCCAATTTATCATTGAGAAATACGAAGTATATGAGATACATGTAAATTGACCGGACGAGACTTTCTATACATGGAAAGGAATGCGCATTTAGTTCCTGGGTAAGAAATCATTGAGTAAGTGTTGGATAAGAGTGAAATTATTATAGGCATTTTTAAATGTACTTTTTTTATGGTGGCAGTGTTTGATCATGTCCTTAAAACAAGTGGCTTACCTCCAGAATTAATTATGAGGATCATGATTCTAATGCCATCATTCTCCATTAGCTTCTTGATCCATTTTCTAATTTCATTTGTGAATATAACATAAACAAAATGAAAGTGACTTGCCAGACTCCATAACATGCTCAAATCTTATGAAGCTTCTACTACCTAAGGGATATGGAGAGCTCTACTGCTTATTCTGGTTCTATGAGAAAGAATAAGTATGAGAACAAATTAAAGGTAAGCTTGGAGAGAAGCCCACAACTTTGAAATCTAATGATGAAGTTCAGCAGAAAATCAAAGGTACGTACCAAAGGATATTTGCCTCTACTACAAAGAGAAGGGGTACCGGAAGATAGGTTGCATTACAGGGGCATAGCCAGGAGTAAGAGTTGGGCTGGGCCGGTACAAAGAAATTTTACAGATAAATTTTTGCAGATAAATTTTTAATTTAAAAATATATGCAATTTTAAAATTTGGGATGAGCCGTGGCCCGGTTGGCCACCCCTCCACCTCCGACTCTGGGTTGCAACCTATACAAGGCAGATCAAGACAAAGAACTTGGAGCTTCTAGCCTGTTTATTTTGTCATTCAGATAAATACTCTCATTGTTGGATATTTGATACAACTTGTGCCACACATATTTGTAATAATGTGTAGGTCGGGTCTAGGTAAAAGTACGTGGAGCAGTTAGACTGAGTGAAATCGAAATACGTACGTGTTGGGAATGTAGCAAAATTTGTTGTTGAGCGTGTCAGGACATACAATTTAGATTTACCGAGTTGATTATAAATTTGAATTAAATAATTTTTATTTCTTTCCTTCTATTACTATTTCTATAATTTTCACTTCTATGTTAGACATTGAAGGGGTTTCCGTTCATTTTGTTAAAAATATTCGTTGTTCGTTTTCGTGAGATCGTGGTGTTTATGAAAATGCTAATGAATGGTTTATACTATATTATCTCTCGCTCTTTAATAGTTGCAACAGTTTGACTTTCACGCTTATCAATGCACAACTTCGATTATAATTATATTTATTTATTTTTGAAAAGGAATATTTTTAACTAAGAAAAAAATTAAAAATTACATAGAAAAAATGAAAATTAAAAAGGGAGAAGAAGTGAAGAACAACATAACTGAGAAAACAACAAGAAAGAGATAGGTGCCTAACCCAAAAGGTAAATAAAATTCTCCCTAGAAAAAGCAATGAATTCCCTCAGGTCATTTGAAATCGAGATGTGATTGGGATCTTGTCCTAATGTGATGCGATCATTGGTGCATTTTCCTGTATGTTGAGATTTTGTGTTCATTTTTCCTTCGTCACCTGGTGAGCCTTGTTGCAAATGTTCTGATTGTTTCAGTCACATAGGTCCTCAATCACTTAAATGCGTGTTCTCTCTCCCTCTCTGAAGCATCCCCATTGTCATACCCTATAAAGCACTGATTACCCGTAGTTTGACTATAATTATATTTAATTACGTAGTAGTTAACCTTATATAAAGTTAATATTTTGGAAATTCACATTAATAGAAATTTAATGCGGAGTAGCATTTTATAAGTAATAATTTGGTTATATGTATTAGTAAAAAATCATGGTTAAATGTTGCAACTATTAAAGAACGGAGGAAGTATAAGCTTAAATGTAGATATGACATATCAAATGTACAAAACAAAATATCATGATAAAGTAATTAGAAAAATGTTTTCAAAAAAAGAGTAATTACATGATATGACATATCAAATGTACAAAACAAAATATCATGATTAAGTAAATTAGAATAATCAACACTACTCAATTGTTAATCATAGGAATTGTGAATCTTGTACGTATTTCAGCTAAAATGACCACTAACCTTTTCTAGGAAAAGAATTGTGGACCAACAAAGTGCTCGAGTTGATTCGTACAATTGAGTGTGGATAATTCTCAGCTTAATCTTGAGAAGGTTTTTCTTACTTCATCACATTTGTTGATGACTTTTTCTTGGTATACATGCCTAAGATTGTTGGTGGGGATCTCCCAAGGATGATGGGATCCCCAAACAACGTTCAGCCTCATATTGGCGGCCTCCTTTATCACAAAGATCATCTCCATGCCTCAAATGTGATCCGTTTTCTTCTTTCTTTTAATCAAGATGTCATTGACATAGGACTCCATCGTGATTCCAAGCACCTCTTTAAAAACTATGTTGATCATCCTCTGAAAGGTGACCATGACATTCTGGAGACTGAGCAACATCATGATGTAGTTGTAAGCATTGTCCAACGTCACAAAGGATGCCTCCTCTACATCGTCAAGGGGCATTAATACTTGATGATAACCCCTAGAGGTGCATTAATACTTGATGATAATCCCTAAAGGCATCTATGAAACTCTGTAACTTGCACTCAATTGTTTCATCCACTCATAAGTCAATCCTGGACATTGGGAAGGAGTCCATGAAGTATGCCTTGTTCATATCAAAATTATCGATGCACATCCATATGTGTCTGGTGGTTAGCAGCATTGTCACCTCCTTCTCAGTGAAATCCCTTCTCCTAGCGTCAATATATCTATTGGACCGGCTTGGTTTCATTATGGATGGTCAGTCAATGCCAGACTTGTCCTTCGGATTGCACGTGAATCCCTTTTCGCGATTGCCTTTTGATTTCCATATTTGATGCACTATCTTTTTATTATAGGAAAAATTGACTAGAATAATCCCACCTTTCACTGGTCTTCTCATAATAATCCTACCTTTACATAATCCCAAAATAATCCCACATTTGCACCTCATCTTCTTTCATTGGACCCTGACCAAGTTTTTTACCTTTATTTGAAAATCTTATATAAATAATCTCACATTTATAAAGATATAATAGAAAAGTGAAAGGTGAGATTATTTATATGATTTTCAACAAACGAGTAAAAAACATGGTCAGGGTCCAATGAAAGAAGATGGGGTGCAAAGGTGGGATTATTCTGGGATTATCTAAAGGTGGGATTATTATGAGAAGACCAGCGAAAGGTGGGATTATTTTTGTCAATTTTCCCTTTATTATATTGATTAAATCAACTACTATTGTAGTACGCACAAACAAGTGCCGAAAAGTCCGGTTCAGGCCTGGGACCGCCCATAGTCTGACCAAACATGTTACCCGGTTTCTATTTCGGTCCTGGGCCGACCATTTTATTTCTTGAAATTTGAAAATGATAAATAAAATATAATCAGACCAGGTCCATCCAGGTCCATCCCAAGACTAGGAGTCTAGGACCGGACATTTAATCAGCTCAGACCAACGTTTAACCAGGTTGAATCCAGGCTTCCCCTAGCACTGAACGGGACCAACCGATCCTAGACCAGAATCTGCCCAGCCGGTCCGGGACAGGAATGGGACCGGGTCCACTCCTAACCTTGGACAATCTGCGACCACCTTCAGGCTTCAAGCATCATAGTTAAAAATGAAAAAGAAAACAAATTTGGCAACCAGAAAATATTCATATAAAATCCCCCACCCCACCCAACCGAAGTCACGTTCAACATGTGGAACTCACTTGAAGACCCACGGTCACCCACCTGAGCCTCCTGCATTGGGCAATGTTTTCACTAAAAGAGGTATAAATGTGACATCATCCAGTTTGGTTCTACATGAGATCAACGACAAAAAAAGACTCAAATATAAGTACTTGAACTTGAAGACTACAAGCATCTTCACATCAAAGAGGCCATTAGTCCCTCCACCACAACCGTCCTAACACTTCCGCTGCTTGTTCAACAAGGGAAGCACGAAAAGTAAGAGCATCAGAGGAGGAAACGCCTGTGTTATAATCATCACTCATATATATCTCAAAACCACGGAGCAGGCCCTTTACACCTCAGAAGCATCAGGTGAGTTCGGTGTCTTTTCAGGACAACCCTTATGCTCCGCTACCGCTGCCCGGAACTCTTCAACAAATGAAGAGTCTTTAAATTTCAGGGCAAACGTAACCAAATTCCCTCCAGACCCAGAAGCACTGTTAATGCAGGCAAACGTGACGGCTTTTTTGTCCATATTTGTAAGTTTCATCTCAGGGTAGAGGTTAGCATTCAATATCAACCGGCAATTCCCTCTTGATCTCATAACTAGTCTTCCTTTTTTCATTTCATTTTTGGAAACATTGACTTTGAGTTCTCCCTTCCCCCTCTCTTTCCACCCTCCATCAAGATATTCAAAAAGGGCAGAATCGGCTGTGAAGACGGGTTTTTCATCCTCCTCCCCCGTTTGAACAGGAACCTCTTGCATTGGCGGGAATCCAGCAGGCCCTCCAAAAATGGAAACGTTGTCATTTGAATGGCCACCGAAACTCAGCGAGGATTGGTCAGCAAGAATGGGACCATCTTTTGAAACAGGTCCAAATGAGAAAGTTGACCCGGAGAATCCAGTTCCTGCTAGTCCTGTAAAAGCATTTCGAGTACTTGAGAGATGCTGGAATGAGCTGAGAGATGATGGGTCTTCATTCACTGTTTTCTCACTAGTGTCTTTCTCATTTCCATTGGTCTTCTCATCAGCTTCAACGGTGTCAGGTTGTTTATTAGGCTCATTCTCCGTCTTATTTTTGTCAATAGTCGAAACCACTCCCTCTGCTTCACTGGTCTGCTTTTCTGGTTGTTTTTTCTTGTCCACGTCAGCTTTTCCCTTATCTGCTTCCTTGTTCTCATCATCGTTTACCTCCTCAAATTCCCTATCCACGTCAGATTTACCAGCATCAGTTTCCTTGCCTGTGTCAGCTTTTCCAGCCTTGATTCCCTTGTTCACATCGGGTTCACTTGGTACCTCAAAAACACTAGGTTTGGAAAAGGCAGAACAAAAATTAATAAACTGAAAGAATATAAGAGAGAATATTCAGATAAATATATATACACATATACATATGCATATGCAATTATGCATACACGTACATATATACATACGCACACATATATGCGCTTGTATGTGTGTTTGTAGCCAGAGCACTAAACCAGGCTGGACCGGTAAAAAGATTTTTTTGGAAAAAAAAATTACACGAAGAATATACGAGAGAATATTCAGACAAATATATATACACATATACATATGCATATGCAATTATGCATACACGTACATCGGTACATATATATATATACACACAAATATATGCGCCTATATGTGTGTGTTTTGTATCCAGAGCACTAAACATGGCTGGACCGGTACAAAGATTTTTTTTTTGGAAACAAAATTACACAAAGTCTTTTAACACAAACAATTAAGGCCTTTTTAAAATTTGTGTGAAAATGTGTGTGTGTGGGTGGGTGGGTGTACACACACACATATATAACTTAGTTCAAAGGAAAACATGATCTAAGGAGAGAAATGAGCACGATTTTGGAACATTGAATTTGGGTATCATGCATTATGTGAAACAGAAATGTGCACTATCAATAAATTAAAAAAAGTGCATTAGAATTGTTCATTATTTTAACCACAAATGTGCACATTTGAACTATATATTATAACTACAAATGCGTACCTCCATGAACCAGACCTTACACACACACACATACAAAAACACACACATACTTAACCCGAAAGAGAACCACCAAAATTTTGGTGGGGTCAGAGCCCACCTAATACGAAGTTTATTAAATAAATATGCATATATAGGATCAAATACAAAATATGCCACGATGGTGAAAATTGAGAATAAATTTAGTGAACTAAATTCTGAAATCTGAATCTAAGAGTTTAAAAAATCAGAGGAAAATATGTTATATGTGCTAACAGAACAGTAATAAGGTGCAATTCAGAGGATCATCATTTTCTTAAAAGTGCACATTTTGATATTTGCAAGTGCAACCGTGTGGTAATATAAGTGCATCCTTTCCAAAAATTGCCATAGATAAAACACAAGTTATGAAAATAGACAACTAGAGGAAAAACATGATGTACACACCCACACGCACCCACCCATGAACGCACGCACTCACGCGCACACACATTGATTAATTATGTTTTGAAAAGTAGAATGAAACATAAGAAACAGAAGTTTTTAGGCAGTATTTTCCGGGATTAGAACACACCAGTGAGCTTTTCCTTCCTCGGAGTCCTTGTTCACGTCATGTTTTTCCTCTATCCTGTCTACTTTCACTGCTTGAATTTCATCTTTGGATTCCAAAGGAACAGTCCCAGGTGAAACCAAACATATTCCAGCAAAAGGGTTAGATGAAGGAGTAGACGGGGTTGATGATGTCATATGGCGTCTAACTTTTACAATCCTTCTATTTGCCATCACTTCCTCACTCGCCTTCTTGAAGGTTCCAGACTCTTGCTCTGGCACCTCGTCATCATCAAGGCCGGGATTGTCTCGCGATAGCTCCCTCCCAGCAGCCCTCTTTTTTGAGGGTGGAAGAACATTTTCAGCATTCTCCATCTGAATTTAAAAAAATGCAACTTAAAAAGATGGGATGTACAAGTTTATTGCATAAAAGTTCAGCAGGATGAATTTAATTTTGTGGATTAGGGGCAAACCCTTGGAGACTCGCATATCTTGACTATGGAGACCAAGTTTATATGTGCCATGTAAATCTCTTGGCTAAAGAGAAAAAGTTTTTGATGTGTCATGCAGTTATTACTAGGATTATTATATCCCCACATATTAAATGTATGCCATGTCAATCAACCAAAAAATGCATGCCACATGTGAGACTTAGGTTCTATATTATGGAATTGTTTTGAAACCTCAAGAAACAAAAGCCATAGACTATCAGTCTATAGTAGCAAAGTCCCAATTGCACAAAAGATTACTTCCAATACATTGATTATCAGAATCATGACAACTTGCTATAATGAGAGAAATCGATGGCGCAAAAGGTGATCACCATATGTCACCATAAGCACTTTAGGTGGTTTTTTCCACATTCCCAGGACCTTACGATGAGAATACCTGTGGCAGCACCATTATTGCTCCATCGTCTGTGCCATTTGTGTCACAATTGGGCCATATTTAGACATTTTTAAAAATAGGGCCATATTAAATAGTCCTTTCAGTCTAAGTTGAGACTTACACAACCCTAAATTGCTAACGCATCACACGTGAGTTGATTAAACAGGCCCTTTGTTAAGACTTATTATACCAAGACCCAGCAACCACCAAGACCCAGCAACCACCAAGACCGCCTAGCAACCACCAAGCTGTGCTTTCACAAAGAAATGACACAGGTAAGTAATATTTTTTGTTTTCAGTTATTTTTGTGTAATATTTCTCTCTCTCTCTCTCTCTCACTCTCTCTCTCTCTCTTTATATATAGATATAGACACACACACACACACACATATATATATATATCTTTCTTTCTACCTTGCTGTCAAGATTAATATCGTTACATTATGGTATGTACTTACGCAGTACTACGTATATTTTAATATTAATATGGAAATTTTTATTGTTGAATATTAGAAGCTAGGTTTAAGATAGTATGTGTATTATCATACTAGTACACATATATGTATTATGATATTAGTTTCTTTTTAGGTAACAAACATTTAGCATGAGAGGTTAAGATAAATTCAAGTAAGCCTTTCAGAACTATATGTAGAACTATACAAAATGCTTTATAGGAAGGAAATCGTAATAAACTTATACAAAAGAATTCAGCATTACACGGATTACTCAATTCAAGCTAATGCACCTTCTCACTCCTTTATGAATCATTCGCATAACAATCTCATACTCAACATGTTAAATCAACTCATATTGAGAACAAAAATCCAAGCAATTAAAACCTGAACCACAGAAATTATGTATCGTAAAATCCCAGCAATTGAATAGGCAAACAAAAAGCATAAAGCTGGTTGTAGTTTAAAAAGTGAAAACAAAAATATATTGTGATCTAAAATTTGGCTTGAAAATGGAGATTCTTGAGTACAAGCGTTGGTTCTCTAAGTACAGTTTATTAAACCTCCTAACCTTCTTCATCCTAATAGCCTAATAGAGTTCTGCTTAGTGGAAAATTAATAAAATCATTAATTTGATATGAGAACCTGTGTCTGGAGGATCAAGTTTTTTGGATTCTTTCAACTTAGTGGAAACAGAAAGCACATGATTAGAAGCTAGCGTAGTTTATGCCAAACGCATACGAACCCCCCTCTATTATACGTAGTACCTATTAAAGAGGACCCCAAACTGTGCCTTGACTGCAAAAGATTGGAAGCTCAACAAATTTTGAGGTCTTCCTAGCTTACAAAATTGAAAGTCCGAAACAATTTCGTGCAAGGTTCAGCTGGTCACCAGGAAGAGGAGGCTTTGTTGGGCATTTAAAAAAAATCATTAATTTGATAAAAAGGGAATTTCATTGTGTTCCCATCCTACTTCTTCGCAACCTTATAAATTATACTCCGTACTTCCCATTCTATTACAGAAGAGAAGAATCCATGGATTAGGGGTTGAATAAATCGTAAGACAACCTAGCTACTTTGCCAGAACAAAGAAAACGCAAGAAATCCAATATAAAGAGAGATGGTAAACATAACACTTTCAGTAGTTTCATGGGTAATCGATTGGACTTCAATTCAAGCAAGTATGAAAGAAGATAGTGAAGAAATGCCTACCTGAACCCTAGAGATGAGCGGCCGTTCTTCGCTTCCTGGTCGGCAATTCAAGCTTTCCAAATCCAGAAGTGAGACTTTGATATGGAATTTCTGCAGTGTATTTGGGCTTTTAAGTTGGATCATCTAAATTCTGAATTCATCCAGATTTTGGGCAGGGCTTTTGGGTAACCTTTGTGTAACCCATGGATACACCCAAACCAAACCTCATAAAGCTGTCTAACAGATCAAACCGCCCGACCCAATTCTACTTCTGGGTTTTTTTTTGGAAAGAATTCTACTTCCGGGTCATAAAATGATTTTGTGAGTTGGATCGGTTAAACTCGTTTAGTGATGGATCAGAATTTCTACAATTTTTATCCATCTCACTTAACTTGTGGATCTTACTGGCTGGATTGTGGGTCACTGTAAAAAATGTATACATGATATATCACGGAACGTCTATACTTATATTGGTATGTAGTGGTAAGAAATTAAAATGCTAAGCACTCAATTTTTTGTTCAATTTAAACAATATTAAATTCATAGTTATACCACAATCTGTAAGAGGGTATAACAAAAGTACTCATTATACAAGAGTAAAGATATACTTAAACCTTTTGAGTAAATATTTATAAATCATTATTACTAATTGCTAAATTTATATTCAGTTACAACATAAAAATACTCTTGAATCGTTTATTTGACAAATTATATTAGAGATAATTATATAGTTTCAAATTTCATAATCTTAGGAGTAAAAGAACAGTACTAATGATGTTGAAAGTCAAATATATAGGTTTGTATTTTGGCCCCTGGATCAATCCACTTGCAAATCGAAACCCATATGGAGCAACCCGTGAAACCGTGAATTAACCGGATTCAAAAATGAACTCTAACGCACTGCTAAATGTATTAAAATGAGTCAACTCGCGGGGTCCGGTCCACATTGATGGCTCAACAAGCATATTTGGAGTTCTAGAATGTCTATTAAATATCTTAAGACTTGTAAGGAGTTTTAGAATGTCTTATTTAAATACATCAAGATGTCACAAAATCTCAATATGTCAAGACAGGCCTCAAATAAATACACTCCATTTTTGTATTTAAACAAAAGGTTTTAAAACACCTTACAAGCCTTGGGTATTTAATATGTTTAAATATATTTTTAGTCTTTGTAAATACAGAGTGTTTTGTATTACGTTTTTATATTATTTTTTTGGTTTTTCATCTCTCTCTCTCTCTCTATATATATATATATATATATATATATACATAGAGGAAAGTTCATGTCAGACCGGCCTGACGAGCTGCTCCGTCCGGCCGAGCCCATTTGGGCACCTTCCCGGTGGAATTTTTTGATGAAATGTTTTGAGCATGTTCCTCATCAAGTCTAGTTTGTCCATACCAAATTTCAGCACAAAATTCGATCGGGAAGGCATTCAAATTATTTTTTGAAGTTGACTGCAGTTTCATTTGTATATTTTGACGCAGTTAACTTCAAAAAATGATTTGAATGCCTTCCGGATCAAATTTTGAGCTGAAATTTGGTATGGACAAACTAGACTTGATGAGGAACATGCTCAAAAAATTTCATCAAAAAATTCCACCTGGAAGGTGCCCAAACGGGCTCGGCCGGACGGAGGTTCCCGTCAGGCCGGCCTGACGAGAAGAGTACTCTCTCTCTCTCTCTCTCTCTCTATATATATATATATATATATATATATATATATATATATGTTTTTCTTTTTTCTTTTTTTTGACAGATGATAATAATCGACGTTTGACAATAAGGCAACCCCAATAAATAGATTTCATCTCATTCTTTGTCATTTTGTTTAAAAAGTGTTAGGACTTTTTCTGGTGTCCAATCTAGTTAGACGTCTTTGTATCTGTGTAGTTGTTAGTTAAATGTGTAATATGGGCCACAATTGAATATTAGCCCATTAGCCTCTCTTGTAAGCCATAAGTTAGTCATCCTCTCCTATAAAAGGAGGCTAACTTATGAGAAAACCTAACTAAGGCATAGAGCAATAGAGGCAGAATAGATAGAATTGTTTTCACGCTGCTCTCTCTCTCTCTAGAGGGAGAGCAGCGGCCATTACACGATGTACCAAATTTCCATTCAATCTATTTACCTCTTCTTTCACTGTTTTATGATTGTATGATTGTTAGAAATAGGGATTAACATGTGGTATCAGAGCCGAGGCGTGAAATAGATCGAATCAATCTGCGTTTTTCGGATCTGCCTTTATCGAGAAAGACCTTACCTTTTTCAAAAACTGAGTTTTCGATATTTTGGTTTGATGATCTGTTTTCAATGTTTTTTCAGCGATTTCTGGAAGATTAGGATCGAAATCCGTTTGACAACAACCTGCAATTTCATTTGTAAAGACATTTTTGATTTCACATTTGCAGATTTTCGAAGCTGGAAGTTTTCGATATGAAGATTTCGAAGTTTTGGAGTTTCTCGATGTTTAGAATCTTTCGAACTTTGGGTTTTCTTGAATCTCAGAATTTTTCGAAACTTGATATATTTCCCTATTCAGAACTTTTCGAAGCTTACAAAAAGTTTTCGATATTCCTAGCTTCTCGATAGTTTAAAAGAATTTTTATATTCTCAGCTTCTCGAAGTTTAAAAGGATTTTCGATATTCTCAGTTTTCGAAGTTTAAAAAAAAAAGTTTTCGAAGTTCTGAAAGTTTTCAAAGTTAAAGTTTTCGATATTCTGAGGTTTTAGAAATATCAAAGTATTTGATGTTCTAAACTGGTTAGAAATTCTAACGATTTCGAAGTCTTGATTTTCTCGAAGTTAATCCTCGAAAACACGCTTCTTGCAGGTAGAAGGTCGAAAACAGGTTCTCGCAGACTGGATCTCGAAAACAGGATTCTCGCGGATTGGATCTCTAAAACAGGTTTCTCGCGGATTGGATCTCGAAAACAGGCTTCTCGCGGATTGAAGTTCGAAAACACGTTTCTCGCAGTTTGAACCTCGAAAACACGTTTCTCGACATTCAATATCGAAAAGAAATTTTTCGATATTCAACATCGAGAAGACGTTTTCGATATTCAATCATCGAGAAGAAGTTTTCGACATTCAATATCGAGAAAAAGTTTTCGATATTCAGTCATCGAGAAAAGGTTTTCGACATTCAATATCGAGAAAAGGTTTTCGACATTCAATATCGAGAAAAGGTTTTCGACATTCAATATCGAGAAAAGGTTTTCGATATTCAACATCGAGAACAGGTTTTCGAGGTCCAACATCGAGAAACTCAACCTCGAGAACCCCAACTTCGAAAAGTTCTTCAAAGTTAAAAATTCAAACTTTTCGATGTCCTGCACTGTTTTGGCCATAACTTTTGACTCGGTGATCCGATTTACGCGTATAATACCTTTTCGGAAAGCTCGTGAAGAGATCTACATGAATTCCTGGGGGAACCCCAGAACCCAATCTCACGCTCCCTCACTCGCCGTTTTTGAGGGAGATATCACTTGTTTTCCGAAAAATCACCAAAGTCAAAGTCAAGGTCAAAACTGAGGCAAATCTGGTCAATTCTTCCAAAATCAAACCAAAGTCAAACCAAATGTCAAAGATGGTCTAGTCTACACTGTAAGGTCCGGAACTCGTAGATAATTCAATCAACCTCGCGTCAACGGTCATTTCACAACAATCAACAATCAACTACTGATGCCTCCCCTAACTCATCAACAATGTGTGATCATCACTGTGCTGAATTTCTAGATGATGAGTTCAGGGTAAACCATCATGTGTGGTACCTGTACAGATTGCTCCATACACATGGCGGGTATATCAAGCTGTGAGCAATCAAACCTTGCACAATCTGAGGGGGAGTTAAATTTTTCTCCTCCTGGCGCCACACAACGACAAAGCAAGGATTCTCTCAAAGGATGCAACATTTGAGGGGGAGTTCTCAAACGATGAAAAAGCATACCGAGTGCTCCAGTTGAGGGGGAGTACAGAGAGAAAATGAAGAAACAAAGAGAATGAGAGAGAAGTCCCTATGGCTTAGTAAACCCAACTAAGCCTACCCAAGGGACAAAGCCGAGAGTAAATGAGTGAATGTGTGAGTGAGTGAATATTATGAGCGTTAGGAAGCAGAAGGCTCAAGTGAGCAAGAAAACAATATTCAATGATAAGTCTGCTACTTCAACTGCCTACTATTAATTGATCAATTACTCCCAGTCACTCAAATACTCTGGACAATCCCCATGGGTTCAGGACTGAATTTATTCAGATCCCGGGTAGAAGTCACTGCATCTTGTCCAACAGTGCATACATAACCCTACCCAAGACCACTCATTTGTCTCCCAACAGACAAATGTTTAATCATATTTCACGGGGAACCTCATCTCTCATTACTGTCTCCTTCCGAGGCAAGTGATACTGACTACAGTGGCCTCAGCCCCATGCCACTGCACTTTCATTGATCACGTTGTGTCTAGTTATCTCACTCCCAAATGTTTTTGAATTTTCTAGGACACAGACACACTTTTGAGTCAGTTGCAGGTCCAAGTGACCATGCGAGAACTTCCATAGGACTCATCTACTATAGATAGACCGATGATTGGAAGGAAGTCCTGCTGTTGCAACATAGAAATCACCAACACGTTCAGGTCATCGCTTTAGAGTTTTTCTCTATAGTGATGATAACGAGCGTCTTCACGACCTCGGGGGGCTACCACTTTCATTGCTGATCTTCATGATCATGCCATAACAACTAGAGTGACGTCTACTTGAGATGCTTCACAATGACTGGTTGGAAGTCCTGTTAGAACTTTATTGCTTCTATCACTTTACACAGGCCACACATCGGTGTTTACATTGATGTTGTGATAACGGAACACTATGGTGTCTCCGGTTTTTATCTTATCTTTTTTCTTTTTCTTTTTTGTTATCCAGAATAAAAGAATAAAAGCATGACGTCCCGATTCATCGGATCGTCATGAGGGGGAGAACGGTCCACATGCTGTTTACTATCAACAAATCATTTTTGGACACTTTCTCCACTATCTCTACTGCTAAATGGCCAAGCCAGCTTCAAGTCAAATGGTCAGCTACGCTCACAAGTCAACTATCTTATTCCGCTGTGCCACTGACGAGATCTCCTCAAAGACAATAATTTTCCGCTGTGCCACCTACACAATGGAGGAGACAAAGGTCGGGTAATCAAATTATGA